CTCGGCACTATTTGAAAGTAGGCTCTAATTTGATTGTACTAATTTGATTGTTTAGAGCCTAGGCTCTATACAAATTGCACCCTATATATATATATTGCTTTTTTTAAGCCAATTGTGGGGATTTCATAAGAAAAAGGCTGGTTTGTGGCTCAAATATTGCAAGAAATGGCTATCTTCAAAAGCATAAAATTCATCATGTCGATATCAAAAAGCAATTGATCCTCGAATATTCTTTGAGGCTTGGGTTTGAATCCCTGTTAATTATAATCGGAGTCTTACTTTGAGAAAGAGAACATTCCTCCTCTCTTATTTTCTTAATATTTCTTACTTTTCTTAATGAAAAAGGTTACAATAAGGCCTGGGCTTTATGAAAAAAGTAAAGCCGCATCTCAAATCTTACTAAGAAGTTATGTAGTTGTGATTTTATAAAACCCTCAAATCAATCATTTCAAACTTGACTATTATAAGTATGATGAAAAAAAAAAAACTGGATTTTAAATCCTAAAATAATGTATCTTATAACATATTATCTGGATCGTCTATTTTAAGTGTTCATGAATCCACGAGATATTTACCATTTAAGCTACAAATTATATAATTGATGGTGGAAATAGATTTTAGAGTCATCGTAGGGATTTTCCATGCCTGTAGTATTTTTTAAATAAATTTTTAAGGGTGAGCAGTTAACCTTTTTTTTTTTAATTTAAATTTAGCCTGGACGTTATAGAAACCGCATCCTTTTTTAAGTTGGAAACTCTCTAAATTCTTAGAGATAAAATTCTTTCATATTCTATCATTCCTTCTCTAACGTTAACGTCACTTAGCCCAAAAGGATCTTACTTTATGCCCTTTTAAACTTCGCCACATTTATAATACAAATTAGGTTAATAAATATTAAACTAAAGGATAAAATCAAAAGCTAGGAATAAGAACTAGAAAATATTGAAAGTTGAATCCTAAGATTTTAAATTGAAGAGTGAAACAGAAATAGTAAAAAAAAAAAAAGTTTATATAAGGTTGCAATTGCGCCTCAAAAATAAGTAGAAAAGACTATATTGAAGCTAGAAAACCTTCTAATTGATCACCTCGATCTCGGGACGGATAGTATAAAGAAAAATAATAATTTCAAGTCCTAAAAACAGTTCATATCGTAATAAGTTATGGGAAAGCTTTTTATGTTCCCTGTACAACATAGAAGTTCTATCCTCCCCCTACCATCTAACCGTCTATTTTCTATCAAGAGAGCCACTAACCGTTTGATCATAGATCCAACATCTCAAAGTATTTTATTTTTAGTTTTTATTTTATTTTTAGTTTTTTAGTATTTTATTTTTAGTATTTTATTTTATTTTATCAAGAGTAGCCACTAACCGTTTGGTACATGTCATCTTCTCATTGGGGTGCACCTATAAAATTATTAAAATAA